TTGTTGGAAGTGGAGTCTTTGGGATACTGCTGGAATAAGAATTTCTGGAGGTCCCCATGGGAGGGTAAGATATTGTAGAAAGTTTTATTTCTGTGGAATTACATCTCTGAGTTTCCAACATCCCATTTTCCTTTGTCCTGCTAAGGAAGAAGTCCCAGTTTGTTTTCAGCAGAGCTAGAATCAAAGCTGGTGTTAGGGCATAGTCCAATCTAGCATCAGGCTTGCTTAGTTTGTGCTTCCTGATGCATTGTGTGGGGGGGTCCACAGGGTCACATGGATATGGAGGAACTTGGGCAGGAGCCATGCCAAAGGAACTGGAGAGGAGAGAGAGAGAGAGAGAGAGAGAGAGAGAGAGAGCCAAGAGCCAAGTGGATGCGCTCCTCTGCCTCGGGGACTATGTATTCCCAAAGTTTTGTGGGCTTGCTGTGGCTCTGCCCACTCTGGCCAATGATCTCTGTTCCCAGGTTAGACTGACAGGAAAGCACCTTTCCTGTGTACCTTCCCCTACTCACTGCACATGGCGCTATCTCCCCTTTGCGCAGTCCTTTCCCCTAGTAATCTACAGGGAGTGGGCCGGTGGTTCCCTGTGGTGTGCAAAATAGCTTCCTGGTGAAGCTGCCCAAATAACATGCCTATAATATCTGGCCTTCTCTTTGCTCCTTTCCTATTATTAATAACTAGCTAATTACAATAGTATCACTAATAACTGAGGAAGAATCTTGGCATCAGTCATGAAGGACTGGAGTGCAGTGTTTGTTCTGTTAGCAATGACTGATGTGGCCCATTATAAGAGGTATGACAGGAAGTGAAGCTGGACAGTTACTCACAGGACAAAATATCAGCATAGATTACAGCTCAGTTCAAAGGGGGCAGCTGAGATTTGAACATTTAAATTGCTCTGGGTCTTTTCCCATCCCTGGTATAATGTGTGATTTGGGTTTTGAATGGTCTTAATCTAATCCCAGTTTCATCATCTAGTAAAAGCACAATAGTACCATTAACTGACTTTCATGTCTGCTTTTCTGGTACACAAAGTGCTTCTAAGTGACGGAGCTGGAACAGACCTTCATTTTCTGGCTCTGGGTCCCATGTTTTTGACATTATCAGCCATTTGAGTTGTGAAGCTTCCTTAGTAGCAACAAATGAAACCTGTTTTCACACTTGGAGTTGACCTTTTTGATTAGGAAGTAGGAATACTACAGGCCCTAAAAGACTCCCCCTTGTCTCTCCACCCTCCCCCCCATCCCTCACCTCCACACACACAGCTTCCAATCTCCTTATCTCCTCACCTGGAAGCTACATATTTTTATTATCAGTACACAATTGTCAGTATACCTACAGCACTGTCCTTTCTCTTCACCTTTTCTTTCATTCCTCATGAGATCATGAACACATTTTGAAAGCAGGCCCTGTGCCTTGTTAATTTCCTTACTTCCCCTCCCCTCTCTTGTATCTTCATCCAACCTCACCCAGTCCCTTCTCCAACCTTTTCCCATCCTCAGAGCCTAGGACCCAGTAGGCCCTTCACAAATTTTTAAGTGTTTAATGGCATTTTATCATCAAAAAAGGAATCATGCCCTAGCCGGTTTGGCTCGGTGGTTAGAATGTCAGCCCTTGGACTGAAGGATCTCGGGTTTGATTTCAGTCAAGGCCACCTACTGCAGTTGCAGGTTGCAGGCTCAATCCCTGGCCCTGGTTGGGGCGGGTGTGGGAGGCAACCAACTCATATGTCTCTCTCACATCAATGTTTCTCCCCCTCCCTTCCACTCTCTCTAAAAATCCATGGGAAGCCCTAACCGGTTTGGCTCAGTGGATAGAGCGTCAGCCTGTGGACTGAAAGGTCCCAGGTTCAATTCCAGTCATGGGCATGTACCTTGGTTGCGGGCACATCCCCAGTGGGAGGTGTGCAGGAGGCAGCTGATCAATGTTTCTCTCTCATCGATGTTTCTAACTCTCTATCCCTCTCCTTCCTCTCTGTAAAAAATCAATAAAATATATTTTAAAAATAATCCATGGGAAAAATATCCTCCGGTGAGAGTAACAACAACTAAAAAGGGAATCATTTTTTTTAGTACTAATTGTTTATAGTGCTGACATACATTGTGAAATTTGGGTATTAATTTTCCCATTTAGCATATATGCTCTAGAGCAGTGGTTCTCAACCTGTGGGTCGCGACCCCTTTGGCGGTCGAACGACCCTTTCACAGGGGTCGCCTAAGACCATCCTGCATATCAGATATTTACATTACGATTCATAACAGTAGCAACATTACAGTTAAGAAGTAGCAACGAAAATAATTTTATGGTTGGGTCACAACATGAGGAACTGTATTTAAAGGGCCAGAAGGTTGAGAACCACTGCTCTAGAGCTTTGGGACTCAATGTAAAAACATTAGAGAATTACATTTTACACATAATAAGCTGTGAATTGAGTTCTAAATCTAAATGCCTGAAATTTAAAAGTTAGTCTCCATCCAGAAAAGTACAATAGTATTTTAACAGTAAATAAGTAGCCATTAAGAGGATAATAATTTTAATATTTATCACATAATTTTATATCTCTGAAGAGATAATTTACTAGTGGTTTTAGATGTCTTTAAAATCTTCTCTAAACCTTTCTTGTTTCTTTATTTTTCTTTCTAACTTCCTTCCGGTTAATAATTGTGGATTTTGTAATAAAAGAAAACACTATAATTTCAAGAGAAACATTAAAAGTGCTTTATTCAAAGTAATGTCCATCACTAGCTATACATTTCCCCATCTTTGAGGTAATTTGTGGATAGCGTCCCAATAGAACTTTTCTTGTTTTGAGGCAAACTATTCAGAAATCCAATTTTCCACTTCTTCGTATATTTTGAAGTGCTGCTCAGAAAGTGCATGTGCCATCGATCAGAACAAGTGGTAATCTGAAGGAGCAAGGTCTGGTGAATACGACGGGTGGGTTAATACTTGCCAGGCAAGATCTTTTAACGTGTCTTTAGCTGGTTTTGAAGTATGTGATGGTGCGTCATCATGAAGCAAAATTACTTTGCCGTGTCTTCTGGCACATTCTGGTCATTTCACGATCAAAGCATGGTTCAAATTGATTATTTTTTGTTGGTAGTGATCAGTATTAATGGTTTCATCTGGTTTTAGAAGCTCATAATACACCACACCTTCCTGATCTCACCAAACGCAGAGCATTGTCTTCTGTACGAAGCGATTTGGCCTTGCAGTCAATATTGATGGTTGACCTGGATCAACCCAGGATTTTGTGCATTTGGGATTCTCAAAATAAATCCACTTTTCATCACCAGTCACAATTTGATGCAAAAAAGACTTTCTTTTGTGCCATTGAAGCAACATTTTACTGATGATTTTTCAGTTTTCCATTTGTCTTTCATTCAGTTGATGTGGCACCCATTTTCCTTTAAAATCTTTCCCATTGCTTGTCAATGATCAGAAATTGTTTTCTGAGCTGCCTCTTGCAGAAATTGTTTTCTTTCTGCAAGTTATTTTTGAGTTTGACACACATCTTCATCCAATAATGCTTGTAATTGTTGGTCTTCAAACTTGTTCGGTTGACCTGGACGTTCTTTGTCTTTCACATAGAAATCATCACTTTTAAAGCGTTTAAACCAGCGTTCACCAGTATCTTGAGATGGAGCATGTTCACCATAAGCTTCCCAAAGTATTCAGCAGCACTCTTCTTCAAAATAAAGTAATGAATTATAACTTTCCGCAAATGCTCTTTTTTTGACATGAAATTGGACATTTTTAAGTGTAAAAATATCTATGATGTTATCACCTTCAGCAAATTTGACATATAAAGTTTTGAAGCTTGTTGTCAATACAACAAAATAGCATACATATCAAATCACATATATATCAACATATGTGTAACTCCATCTATTGAAAAAATCCGCATTATTAACTGGTACAACTAGTAGGCTCATTTTTATCTTTCATAGGATTCTGATATTTAATTAACACCTGAGCATTACAATTCCCTTTTTCATAAATTGCTGTACAAAAATATAGGGAATCTAAAAGGAAGAGGAGTGCTAATCTCCCTGGAGTTCAAAGCATTGAGAAAACCAAGGAGGAAGCTGTAGCCAATCCTCTTACAGAAGCAGATATTGACCCTTCTGGGGGAGTTATTATGTGTCGGAAAAATGAGATAATGATAATAACAAGCTACTTTGTGAATGTTATCAAATATCATCAATACCAGCCAGATAGACCCCTAGATAAATATGTTTTTATTAATAAAAGTAAAAACAGTTGAACATGACACTTTTCTAAATATATTCAGAAAAGCAAATTTGAGGGAAAGGACTAACCTAATTGGGCCACACATGATGGCATGTGGCAAATAATCCTTGGGAAATAGATAGTGATTGTTTGATGGACTCGGCTGCCTATCAGCTCTCAACTCTGCTCGGTAGCCAGGGCTTTGCAGCCTTCTCGAGCAGGCTTTCTCTTTTCCAGGTCACAAGGCAGAGAATTCCTGGGATGTGACCTATTATTGCCCCTTAGGATATTTATGGGATCTGCTTCTGGGGTGTAAAGCCAAACATAGATAGGACAAGAGGAGGGACCAAAAATGCTTCCCTGCTGAGCTGTCTGCCATATCCTGGTATTTTGTTTTGTTTTGTTTAAATATATTAATATTATTTCAAAGAGGAAGGGAGAGGGATGAGAGATAGAAACATCAATGATGAGAGAGAATCATCCATCCACTGCCTCCCACACGCCCCCTACTGGGGTTCAAGCCTGCAACCCGGGTATGTGCCCTGACTGAGAATCGGATGGTGACCTCCTAGTTCATAGGTCGATGTTCAACTACTGAGCCACAACCCACTATTTACTTCCCAAGGATTCTTTGCCACATACTGGTGTTTTTAATCAGCCAACCATAAGATTCCTTACACTTAACTTATGGTGCAATTTCCAGAAGGATATCAGCAGATAGTGATTTCAAAAGTAAGTAACCTGATTTTCCACTTGGGCTTGGTGGTCGTGGCTCAGGAGCTCCCACCTGGGACAATGGTGTGCATTCCTTGTATTGTCATTCCAGTTCTGCTCTGGGTCTACAAGAAGTTCCTGGAGCCGTACATATACCATCTGATTTCCCCCTTTGTTAGTCGAATATGGCCTAGAAAAGCTGTGCAAGAATCCAGTGATACAAGCAAAGGCAAAATAGGCTATAAGGGTGCAGACATAAATGGATTACCAACATCAGGATAGACAGAAATCTCTGATAAAAAGAAAGACTAAAAGCATTGACCCAGGGACCTCCTTGTTTTCAAAATGGACCTAATAATGTGAAGCACCTTCTTTGTAATTGTCTCTGACCTTTTTCTCTTAGAACTCGGGGTGGATGGTTTAGATGTTTGTCTGATACTGATCAGGAAACACATGGTATTTATATTTAGAATGTATTTGGTTATAGTTAATGATCTCATTCCCGCGTTCCTTTTTCATTAACGTAGCTGTAATAGTATGAATGAATAGGAGGTTTTTGCCAGTAGACATTGTTACTACCTCAGTCCCTAAGCATCCTTGGGCTTCTAGCTTCTGTTCAGGCTCTTTGAATTTGAGTAGAGTGTGTTTTCACTATGAAACAGTACAGTGAGACTGGTCAGTGAAATAAATGAAAAGGAATGTTTGGAGGTGATAATGACTTGAAACATAAAGTTATAATTACTGCCCAACACAATGGAGCCCCTTATCTGCAAGAGTAGAAATTACAGGTTATTGCTCCGAAGAAAATAGCCACGACAAGAAATTGAGGAAATTTCTTTGGGAAAAATGGTACAGTTTTTACATAAATGTCTAATGTATATTATAAAATTCTAATCTTTGTTGCATTCCTTCTATTCCTACAGAATGTATTAAATATTCAGTTTAGCTTGTGAAAAAAAAAAGTAAGTAACCTGATGAAAAAGAACAATTTTGTAAGTAATATAAATGTGAAAATTATGAAGGTTTTTTAAAAAATAAAAATAATGCTATAATTGCATACTCTAAAAAAATTAACAGTGGTGACTATTCCCTAGCTGAGACATGAACGATCAGGGAAAGCATGAAGATGGAGATGGTTTTTGAGTTAACAATGAGTCTTGAGTAAGGAACAGTAGTCTGAGAATGAGAGGGGAAGAAGGAGCATAATGTATTAAGTAAACAGCACCTGGAAAGTCCCATGGTATGAAAATGCACAGTCTCAGGATGAAATGTGGAGGGGTACATGGTTCTCTTCATGTTAACTGCTTATCCATTCTCTGCCTTTGTATATTTGCACATTCCCCACCTCCTCCTCCAGGAAAGTAAGTACATTTTTAAGAGAGAAAAGAAACAGGCTCAGAGTAAGTTAGCTGTTACCATAGAGAATAAGAAAATAAAAATTTTCATATTATGTAAAAGGAAAGTCAAGCATGATATATAATTATACAGAATAAATCATTAAAAAGGCTCTTTAATAGAATAAAGAAGAATAGTTATCCCAAAGTAAGATATAGTTTTGACATTAAACTGGGAAGACATCCAAACATTTAGACTAAGATTATAGCTTTTGCTTTTCTTTTGGAAGACTTTATGGTGATTATTTATATAAATTAATATTTGCAATTCTAGTTACCTTAAAGTTATAATAAAATAAAAACAAAACCCAATGGATGTATGTGCATAAAGGAGAATGATACTTAAATGATTTCCATCTTTTTAATAAATTACTCAAAGCAGCTAAATTCTCAAAAATTAATTTTAAGCATTCTTTTTAAATTCTTAACTCATTTTTTGCTTACTTACTGGACTCATTGAAATGGTTCCATTTATTTCCTTTCATTTTTTTCTTGGTACTGGGAGGGCTGAGAAGGAAATTACCAGGTGTTAATCTTTTGAGAGTGGCACAGAAAGACAGGAAAAGATCTAATTTAAATCTAATTTTTAAAACAGAAAGATGTTGTTTCTGTAAAATCACTGATGAGTTTGAAGAGGATTGTGAGGGCCTAGACCAAGTTATTAATAGTCTGGATGTGAACACTTAGTAAAAAAGTAATAACCACCATAATTTGGTATAAATTATTGAAAAATAAGTTATGTCAAATTAACAGTCTGAGTTTGCCTAAGTTATACTGGTAAGTCAGAAACAGCGAACAAAAACAGTAAGAAAGATTAACAAAATGAAGGGTTGGTTCTTTGAAAAGTTAAATAAAATTGACAAATCCTTAGCTAGACTAACCATGGAAAAAAGAGAAAGGACCCAAATCAACAAAATTATAAATGAAAAAGGAGATGTTACAACTGATACCAAAAAATTCAAAGAATTGCAAGAAGCTATTATGAAAAACTATATGTCAATAAACTAGACAACCTAGAAGAAATGGGAAAATTTTTAGAAATATACAACTATCAAGACTTCATCATGAAGAAAGTAAAAAATCTGAATAGATCAATTACTGGTAAGAAGATTGAATCAGTAATCAAAAATTTTCCAACAAAAGAAAGCCCAGGACCAGGTGACTTCACTGATAAACAAAAACACAAACAAGCTGTTAGATATAATCAAAGTAAAGTTGCAAAATTAACATACAAAAATCAGTAACATTTCTATGTACTAAAAAATGAATCTTCCAAAAAAAAAGAAATCTATCCCATTACAATAGCAGAAAAAAACAATAAAATACTTGGGAATGAATTTAAAGAAGGAGGTGAAAGCTTTCTACTCTGAAAACTACAAAACATTGAAGAAGAAATTTAAAAAGACACCACACAAATGAATAGAAAGATATCCTGTGTTCATGAATTGGAAAAATTAATACTGTTAAGAGGTCAACACTACCAAAAGCTATCTATATTTATTTTTTTTAATTAAATCTTTATTGTTCAGATTATTACATTTGTTCCTCTTTTTTTTCCCCCCATAACTCCCCTCCTCCCAGTTCCCACCCCACCCTCTGCCCTCACTCCCCACCCACTGTCCTCATCCATAGGTGCACGATTTTTGTCCAGTCTCTTCCCGCATCTCCCACACCCCTTTCCCCCCCAAGAATAGTCAGTCCATTCCCTTTCTATGTCCCTGATTCTATTATAATCAACAGTTCATTCTGTTCATCAGATTATTTATTCACTTGATTCTTAGATTCACTTGTTGATAGATGCATATTTGTTGTTCATAATTTGTATCTTTACCTTTTTCTTCCTCTTCCTCTTCTTAAAGGATACCTTTCAGCATCTCATATAATCCTGGTTTGGTGGTGATGAACTCCTTTAGCTTTTCCTTATCTGTGAAGCTCTTTATCTGACCTTCAATTCTGAATGATAGCTTTGCTGGATAAAGTAATCTTGGTTGTAGGTTCTTGGTATTCATCACTTTGAATATTTCTTGCCACTCCCTTCTGGCCTGCAAAGTTTCTGTTGAGAAATCAGCTGACAGTCGTATGGGTATTCCCTTGTAGGTAACTGAGTTTCTTTCCCTTGCTGTTTTTAAGATTCTCTCTTTATCTTTTGCTCTTGGCATTTTAATTATGATGTGTCTTGGTGTGGTCCTCTTTGGATTCCTTTTGTTTGGGGTTCTCTGTGCTTCTTGGACCTGTAAGTCCATTTCTTTCACCAGGTGGGGGAAGTTTTCTGTCATTATTTCTTCAAATAGGTTTTCAATATCTTGCTCTCTCTCATCTTCTGGCACCCCTATAATTCTGATGTTGGTACGCTTGAAGCTGTCCCAGAGGCTCCTTACACTATCCTCGCATTTTTGGATTCTTTTTTCATTTTGCTTTTCCGGTTGGGTGTTTTTTGCTTCCTCGCATTTCAAATCATTGACTTGATTCTTGCGCTCCTCTGGTCTGCTGTCGGGAGTCTGTATAATATTCGTTATTTCAGTCCATGTATGCTTAATTTCTAGTTGGTTCCCCAATATAAGATCGAGGGTCTCATTAGTTTTCTTGTAGATCTCATTAAGTTTATTGGCGGCTTCTAAACAGTTCTTGAGAGACCTTAAAAGTATGGTTCTGAACTCTATATCTTCCATTGACAATTTTGTCCTGTTTCTTTGTCTCCGCATTTTGTTATGCTTCCTTGGTGCACCCCCTAGTGGTCTTTGTTCGCAGTCTTATAGTTAAATCTTGATTGTTGTAGCTAATTCCAGGGAGGGTTTGACCTCCAGGCCAAGTGGCTATCCAAAAGCTATCTATACAATCAATGCAATCCCTATCAAAACTCCAATGGCATTTTTTAACAGAAGTAGGAAAAAAACACTACTAAAATTTATATGGAATCACAAAGCATCCTGGGTAGCCAAAGAAGTTCTGAGAAAGAACAAAGCAAGAGACATCATACTTCCTGATTTCAAATTATACTCTAAGCTGTAGTCATCAAAACAGTACGGTACTCACATAAACGCAGACCAGTAGGCTAATGAAACAAAATCAAGAGCCTAGAAATAAACCCAAGCATGTATAGTCAGCTAATATTTGACAAGGAAGCCAAGAATGTTCAATTAAGAAAGGCAGTCTTTCAATAAATGGTGCTGGGATAATTAGATATTTACATGTAAAACAATAAAACTGGACCACTCACAAATATTAACTCAAAATTAATTAAAGACTTAAATGTAGGACTGAAAACCATGAAGTTCCTAAAAGGAAACATAGGAGGAAAGTTCCTTGACATGGTTCTTGGTAATGATTTTTTGGATATGCCACCTAAAGCACAACAACAAAATAAAAAATAAACAAGTGGGAGTATCATCAAACTAACAAGCTTCTGCAGAGCAAAAGAAACAATCAACAAAAGAAAGTGTGTGGCTCAGTTGGTTGGAGCATCATCCCATACACCAAAGAAACAATCAACAAAATGAAAAGACAACATATAGAATAGGGAAAAATATTTGTAAACCATATATCCAAAATATACAAAGACTCATACAACTCAATACCAAAACCCCCCATCTATCCCGATTTAAAAATAGACAAAGGACCTGAACAGGCATCTCTCCAAAGATGATATACAATGGGCAAACAGGTACATGAAAAGATGCTCAACATCACTGGTCATTAGGGAAATGCAAATCAAAACAAAATGAGAAATCATCTCATGTCTGCTAGAAAGGCTATCATCAAAAACACAAGAAATAATAAATGCTGGCAGGAATGTGGAGAAAAGGGAACCCTCATGTACTGTTGGTAGGAATGTAAATTGGTACAACCACTATGGAAAAAAGTATGGAGGATCCTCAGAATATTAAACATAAAACTACCATATGATTCAGCAATTCTAGTTCTGGGAATCTATACAAAGAAAATGAAAACACTAATTTAAAAAGATATCTGCACCCCCATGATTATAGCATCATTATTTACAATAACCAATGGAAATAACCTGAATGTTCATCAGTGAACTCAGAACCAAACAGAAATTTTGGATCATCTTTGGAAGTCCCATCGAGATATCCTGTAAAATGCATAGAAGCAATCAAGCTACAAATGGTCATGG